GGCCGACGAAACGTCTGGGAATCTACCACGTCCACGGTCATACTCTGGAAATGATCATGCATATGTTCTCCGGACTAGGTGCATTCCTCTAAGTCTTCCTAACAATATGACCAAGTTGCGAAAACAGGGTAAAACAACTTATAGGAGACTATATATTTCAAACTTTTTCTGGCTACTTTTATTCAACCAATTGTCTATATCCTTTATTAAATTTCAAAAGGCTTCCATTCAGACAATTATAATCACGATCAATCAAATTGAGCTCATGGCCTTAATCCGGCTCTATCCATTCGTACCCCATCCCTCTTTGAGATTTTTATTCTTTTTATTGTAAATGAGTTATTTTTCTTGGGCTATTTATTCGTAAAGCAATCTATTAAATTCATTTTTACCAACATTCGTTTAGAATGTAGTTCGTTTCGAGGATAGCTTGACTTCCTCTTTACGCCTTATTGTTTTTACTTATCTATTTAATCCGTGTGCTCATTAATTAGAATCAAAATCACGTCGGCATGCTGCCAGATGCGATGAAGTTGAGCCTGGGTAAATCAATTAATGATATTCGTCTGCTGAATCGACGGCTTAAGGCGCGAGAAGAGCTGGTTTTATTACTTCTTAGCCAGGCGCAAGCAGTACAACTCAGGCTACAGACGATGCAGCAATATCAAGAGGAAGTGCTCAGCCTCTCAGAGATCGCAACACGAACCACAAAGACAGGCCTTGTTGCCGCTGGAAACGGCAGCGTTAGTTCTACTACTGCCATTTCAACTGGCCGGTCCGCTGGTCATCGGCAATTGTTGCTCTGCTTGGCAGCCGAAAACAAGCAGGTGGAACAATTGCGTCTTGAGAACAGTACATTGCGTAATTCACTTGAAGAGCATCAAGCCGTTCTTGAGATGATAATGGCTAAATATCGTAGCCAAGTTAGTTTAATTTTACCTAATCTGCTATTTTCCTATTGTCTGGGTACATTCTTATATGTATTGATCTGATAATGTCTATTTCCTTAACTAGGTTTCCAAGTGCCGTAACATTTGTGGGCGATAAGTATTCTTAGCTAGTATTATTTTATGATTGGTAAATGGATTTTTAAAAGATGGCTCTGTTAACTGAAAGCGCAGCATCCTCGAACTTATATGGAAAACAGGTTGGCTATTCTATCCTTTTCATACATGCTTGCAGAAAAGTGAAATGACTATAGAGGATGCTTAAAGTGAAAGTAATTTTGACCGAACAGCTAAATCCTCTCATTTAACCACTATTGCCATCTATTTTACTTATGTGCATACAATCCCCGTGCGACGTGCAAAGTGTGCAAGAGCTAAAAAGATTCAAGGCCAATAATGTTTCCTTTTTCACTCTACGTAACTTCTTGCTCTTGCTCTGTTAAGCGCTTTGCTTTAAACTATTCTATCTGGTGTTTTGCGTGAGACATGTTCAGCCATCTCTAGTTGTTATAACAACAACCCTTTTGAGGCTGTTTTATGTTCAAATATCCCATTAGGTATGTGTCGGCAGGTGTTGCCTAAACATCATACTATATGAGTCGAAACCTTGTTAAAGCCTGATCTGGAGAGAGGTTCCGCCTATTCTGGAAGGAATAATATTACCCAGGTGAGTGTTATTTTATCGCTACAAATGGCCCTGCTAGCTCAATTCAGTAATTGACCTCATTTATGCCAATGCTGTAGCATCTTTGTGAGGGAGATTTGCCAACCCATACAAAGGTGGTTTT